AAAGAAAAACACCTGAATCTCTGTAAGAAAAGTGAGATTTATGTCATTTTAACTTGTCCTAGTTCCATCTTCCACTCTCTAGCTCTTCAGTAGCCTTAAAAAATTACAGCCCACATTTATGAAGAAAACCAGCAGCCTGGCTGACATGTGAGGGAGCAGAAAGGATGGGAGCTTATTCAAAGCTTCATTCCTAAACAACCGTCATTATTATATATGTCTGGTGGTTCCCTGGAAAACACCACTTGCAAGGCTGTCTATATGTGATCTGATTCAGAGATAACACAGTGCAAAAAGCTTTCTCCAGGGGGAGTATCCATCAAGAGCCAATACAGGCAAGTGATTTAGCTTTGCAGCTGCCTAAGGCTGTGAATAACAGTTAAGGTACACAATAGACTAATAAAAAAATGTAAACAGAAAAATTGGGGAAGAAGATATCTATAAGCACTTTGAAAACCTCCTACATTTTTCAGAAAATCTAGAAGAGCATAAGCATGCATAGGACTGTATATATGCTCTGAAAAGACTCAAGAACGCCCCGCATTGTCATGTCTAGCTGACCTTGAGCCTTTGCACAATCAGGAAGTGAAAGCTAAGGCAGAGTTGTTAATGACCTAGCTGATTGTTGAAAGTACACCCCAACATGCACATTCTTTGACAAAGACTAGGAGATTTGCTGGTTCTGGCCATTTAAGAAGCTCTCTGTCCAATCATGAACTAATCTCTAAGATAGCTGAGTAGGGAATTCAGTGGTCACATATGACAAAGAATACTAGTTCAGAGAAATCACTAAAACGACCACCCACCCACATTAGTAAAAAAAAGTCAAAACAACAATAAACCTTGGTGAAGGGAAAGCATCTGATTTCCCAGATTGTCACATCAGAATATTCAAAAGTCCAGTTTTCAACAAAAAACTATGACTGATGCAAATAAATAAGAAAGTATGACCACGCACAATGGCTCATGCCTGTAATCTCAGCAGTTTGGGAGGCAAAGGTAGGCAGATCACTTGAGACCAGGAGTTCGAGACCAGCCTGGTCAACATGGTGAAACCCCATCTCTACTAAAAATATAAAAATTAGCCAGGTGTGGTGGTGCATGCCTGTGGTCCCAGCTAATTGGGAGGCTGAGGTGGGAGGATCTTTGAATCCAGGAGATTAAGGCTGTAGTTAGCCGAGATTACACCACTGCTCTCCAGCCTGGATGACAGAGTAAAACCCTGTCTCAAAAATTAATAATAAAATAAAATACAGTATAAATGTGGTTTTTGTTTATAATGCTTTTTCTTGCCTGTCTTATTTAAAAGACAACAGCATAGAACAAAAGTATAAATCTGTATTAAAAGACACCCAATGTATACGCATGTAATTTGTGGTAACAACAGCATAAAGGAGGGTTAGGATGGAGCTACTAAAGAACAAAATCTTCATATACTATTGAAATCAAGTTACTGTTCATCCAAATTAGATTGTTATAAGTTAAAATGGTAATTGCAATACTCAGGGCAATCACTAAAAATTAATTTTAAAAAGCACAGTAAATGAAATAACAAGGGAATGATGTTACACTAGAAAATAGCTATGTTCTATATGAGATTTTGAAAGCATTATCCAACTATATGCTGTCTACAACAACAACAACAACAAAAAAAAACTTTAGATCCAAAGATACAAATAGGTAGAAAGTAAGGAAAAAAAAAATACACACACACACACACACACACACACACACACACACACACAACTATACATATATATATTGAAACTCTGTTGCCCAGGATGGAGTGCAGTGGTGCAATCTCTTCTCACTGTAACCTCCACCTCCCAGGTTCAAGCAATTCTTGTGCCTCGGCCTTCCAAGTAGCTGGGATTACAGACATACGCCACCATGCCTGGCTAATTTTTGTATTTTTAATAGAAACAGGGTCTCACCATGTTGGCCAGGCTGGTCTTGAACTCAAGTGATCCACCCACCTGGGCCTCCCAAAGTGCTAGGATTACAGGTGTGAGCCACCATGCCCAGCCAAAAAAAAAATTTTTTATGCAAACTAACCAAAAGAGAGTTGGAGCACCTATACTAACAGCAGAGAAAACAAACTTTATAATAAAAGTTGTTGCTAGAGACAAAAAAGGAGTGTGTGTGTGGGTGAATCCATCAAGAAGATGTAACATTTATAAATATGTATGCATCTAACAATAAAGCTCCAAAATACAGGGAAAAGTCTTGACAAAATGGAAGAGAGAAATATATGATTTGACCACAAGAGTTGGAGACTTCAATACCCCACTTCAAAAAAAAAAAAAAATATATCCTACTTCAAATAATGTGGGACTTGAACAACAAAATAAACCAGACAGAAATAACAAATATTTATAGAACACTTCATCCAAGAGCAAAATACAAATTCTTCTCATGTACATAAAACATTCTTCAGAATGACCATATATTGTGACATAAAACAAGCTGCAATAGATTTTAAAGGATTGACGTCCTACAAAGTATGTTTTTGGACAAGAATGGAACTAAATTAGATATAAAAGAAGAAAACTTAGAAAA